TATGTTGGGATTCCATCATGTTCCTCAGATCCTCTATTTTTTTTTTTTAATCTGTGTCCTCTCTAGATTTATTAATCATGTCTTGCACTGTGGGCACAATCTCTGCTGTTATGTGAGAAATTATTTCTGATTTCATTTTTTTCAGATTCTCTTCCGTTGCTAGTTCAGGGAGTCCAGGTGATTGAGTATCAGAGTGTTTCATCTCATTTCCCTTTGAGGTTGCTATAGATGACCTGTAAGTCTGGTTCTAAGGCTTGTTTATGTGTCTTCTCATTTCAACGGGGGAGGGGGATGGGGAGGGTGGTGCTAGCACCTGCTCGGCTCACCTCCTCTGTGCTGGGAGTGGTGGTAAGTTGGCCCAGAAGCCTCCTACTCTGCACTGGGAACTGAGGCACATGGAACTGAAAGCCTCCTCTGTGCTGGGAGCTGCAGCACATCAACTCAGAAGCCTCCTCTGTGAAGCATCTAATCTTTTTAATGTCCCTTCCCCCTACCTTTCTTTTCCCCTCCTTCCATCTTAGTCCCCTTCTCATTTGTAAAAGATTTATCTCCCTGTTTCCTGTTATCTATCTTTCATTTTGCTCTTTAATTTATTTGTTTATACTTTGGATTTCTCCATAGCTATGTAATATGGTATGGATTTACCATCATTTGTTTAAACAGCCTGTTATCAGTGGACATTTGGATTGTTTTTTCTTTTCCTATTACAAATAGATCCCAGAAAGATCCCCACCATGGCCAGTGTTGGTCTTGTGCTTGTAGCACCAGAGCTGTGCATTTTGCATGTATTAGCCCATCCATTCTTATGGCAATCTTATGAGAAGGGATTGTTGTCTTTCCCTTACAGGTGAGGAAACTTAGGTTTGCAGAAGTTAAATAACATGCCAAAGATCAAGTAGCAGAGCAGAGGCCTGGCATCACAACTGTTCTGAGGCACTCGGTCGCTTCCCTCCTCCAGGATGGGCTTTCAGGCACTATTGCCTCCTTCCTTGTCTATATCCTAGAATGACTTTAAAATGACCTTATTCCCCACTAGCCAATCTTGGAGAGGAGGATAAGTTTGGGGAGGCTGTGAGATAGGTCATTGGGGTGGTTGAGGGCTCTGTCCCTTGATTTTCAGCCTGGCCTGAATGCGGATAGAGCCATGACTCCAGAAACTATCAGCCCATGGATCCCCAAGAGTCTTTATGGTCACATGGAGCTCAACGGGGCAGCACCTCGGTACAAGGAAACTGCCCAGGTCCCAGGAATGCAGACGGCTTGAGTTCACTAAGGCTGTGTCTCTGTCCTTAAACCAGTGCCATGGGCTACAGTGCCAGGGAAGGAAGGCCTATATGACCGTTACATGCGGCTTCTTCATGGTAAACTTGGCAGGGAGGAGGAAGAGAAAAGGTAGACATTTCCTAGTATGTAATTGACTTTAAAATTTGGGTCAAACTAACTTTCTGTTTTGGAAGAAAAAAAGTAATAACTAATGGTTATCAAGGGTTTAGGCTACAAATTTGCCTACCTTGTTGGTTAATCCTTGGGATAATCTTTAAAAATATAAAAGATACAATTCCCATTCTACAGGTGTGAAAATCAAGGCTCAAAGAATTTAAGTGATTTATTTGTTTGCAAACTTAGTAAGCCATGGAATCCTGATTTAAACCCAGACCTGCTGAAAGCAAAGTTCAGGTCCTGAACTGTTTTACTACATATGTTACAGACCATTCATTCATTCAACAAAAATATTTATTTAAAATCAGTATGTACTGGGCCAGGGATTAAGCTCAGTGGTGCTGCCGCCTGCCTCACAAGCACAAGGTCCCGAGTTCGATCCCTGGTACCAAAAAAAAAAGAAAACCTGATAAAATCAGTGTGTACTGGTCATGTGTTGTTATGGGGCTATAATAACAAATAAGGGAGATCTGATGATGGACTTCATTTTCCAGTTGGGGGGATAAAAAAGTGAAAAAGTAAACACATAATTACAGGCTCTGATGAATACTATGACTTCCACCTAATATTTAAGATTGTTTTAAAATATTTTTAAAGTAGCTGCTAACCAATGAAAGCAAAGGGTCCTCTATAAACTCTCCCTACACTGAATTTGTCTACTTAGTATATGGTATTTTATGGGACTTCCTTTATACTTAGCCATTTTATTTGATCAAGCTCCTCCAAGTGAAGACAAAACTAGTCTCATTTCTACTTCAGTCAATATTCTGATTTCAGTATCTCTAAAAGCCAAAGTAGGCATAGAAAAATCTATTTCAAATGACTCAGGGTTAAGTGCCCTATCCCTGTGAAATCTTTAGAGCACCTGAGCTGGGGAAGTTGAAATGCCCCAGGAGAAGAGGCAGAGGGAACCGTCTCAAGACAGTCAACAAAGGGAATGGCTCTGTCCAGAGAGTATCACCGTCTATTCCTCCACACATCAGAGCTGTGTGAAAATCTCCCATGGAAGAAGATAGAATATGAATTCAACCCATCATTTGAAAGACAAGCATATCGAATGAAAAGCCATGTGAGCAGTATTATTATATTCTAGTATTATCATTGTTCTTCCATGTAGTTAGGAGATTTTAATCTGAGCAATCTCTTTTCTTTATGTTCACAAATACCTAGGAGGAAGGGAGGTGAAAGGTGTTAGTATTCCCATCATTTCCTAAGTAGCATTTAAATTGAAAATACCTGCCCTCTACCTGTCTGGCTGGGACCTGGAGTTTAATTAGATTAGCATCTCTCAACTGCTTAGGTTTCCCAGAGATAGGCATTATGTAAACATAAGGTATTATTATTGTTATCATAGTATCATTATGGTATTGTAATTGTGTGGATTCTCTCATAAAGCTACATAGGATGGGATCCTGGCCCAGCCCATGATTTGTCTAGTTCTTTGAGCTTAGATGAAAGGTGTGGACAAGTTGTCTTGTGTTGTTTGCATCATTACTATGATTATTATTGCATTTATGATTATTGAAGAGTGAACAGATTTTCAAATTCATCTCAACATCTTTCAAGGGCTTCTTTTAGTATTTCTGTGTTACTGCAATGGTTTGCTCTTCCATATTTGTTTTAATTGCTTTGTTTGTTTGTTTGTTTTGATATCAGGAATTGGACTCAGGGCTGTGCTGAGCTGCATCCTCGGCCCTTCCACATTTGTTTGAAAACCTGGGGTACCAGTACTTGGAGCTTCTGCTAGCCCCTGGGGCACAGGAAGATAGGCAGGGCTCCTCAGGAAGGAGGACTTTTCATCTCTGAGCTACAGGAGCTGGGGAGAGCCTTCTGGGCTTTAGGCTCATGGACAGCAATGCTTGGCTAAATTATTCTAGTTGAAGCCAACTTTGAGTGACTCTTCTGTCCCATTTGCCACCTTTAGGAGCCACAAATGGCTTTTCTCAAAAAGATTAAGATGAGATCCATTTCAAAAAGAGGAAAGAAGAAGAGATAAGAGAGCCAAACAGCACACTGGAGAATAATTTTTTTAGATTAAAGTAGCTGATTCATCACTAAATGTACCAGCAGGTGATGTTGCATAGTTTATTTTAGGAGGTATTCATAAATCCAAAGATTTGTTATCGGTGATTAAAATGTTATTTTGGGATTTGTGAGTTTGGGACCTGCCTTATATTATCTCCCGCATTCTGACAGTGTCATACTCAAAGATCATTTCCATTCAGTTCATTGTACAGTATCTGTCCCCCCCCCCAATAAATTCTATTATTAATCTACTCTCAACTGCATTTACAGTTGCGGCTCTAATTATTTCCATTAAAGCCTCACCCTTCACATTTGCATTTACTTCCATTTTCTCTGCAAAAAGTCTACTGTTTTCTACTATTGGAGCATGTGAAAGCTGCATAATTTAGAAATGTAAGATGAAGGACTCCTTTATCTTCTTCTCATTGCATAGTTGAAGTTCTTTACAGAGCCGAATATCATCAAATTTAAATGAAGAGAAAACCTCCCAATTGATGAGCTGGCTGTCCCCTGAAATTTTTATACCTCTTCAGGCGTCAGACTTATATGTCTCTGCATGGTTTATCACATGAGTTTGCAGTAACAGAGTTATCATTACGCCCTCCTCTCTGTCACTAGCCCGTGATTGGTTCTTGGGGTGGTTTTTCATGTGGCACTCAGCCTGTCATGGCAGAGAAACTACTTTGTTCTTCTCTGCTAAGTTCCCAGCTGGACCTGTCTGTTAGGCGTCAAGGCTACCCGGGTGCTGCCGAGGCCTTGGGGTTGGAAGGGCATTGACTGCTGTGCCAACCTTGCCTTTGGATACAGAGCATCTAACAAGTGCCAGTGGTCGGAGCTGCTGCCTCTCACAGAGTTGGTGGGGCATCGCCTGTGCAGCTACAGGTTGCAGCTGGTCCGGCCTGGGTTTGTGTGTGCGAGTGCTCAGGCCAGCACTTTATTATCTATCAGGACAGAACAAATCTAGGCTAATGTGCGTGGTATAAAGAATTCCAGGGAGCCCCCGTTCTTCATTCTCTGGCCTTTCTTCCACTTTTTCTGCTGTGGCACTCCGGATAATTGCAGTTTAATTGGGTGACATGAAATGAAAACTGTGTCCACATTATCCAGGATTATCTCTTTTGCCCGAAGCCTGCCACCAGTTGAAAGGAGCCCATTTATCAGACCAAAAAGCTGCACTCGGTGGCTTTCATGAGCGAAGAAGAGTGTGAGAACAGGCTGGGGAAGGGAGAAAAAGGAGCTGACAGCTAAGAAAAATTATTTCAGTTGTTTATCACGGGGAAGGTTTATCTGACTCTTTACAAAATGATACGGAGGCCAGAGTGTTGGGCCATGAGTAATGAACGCTCACCAAGTCTGCTTCCCCAACTGGCTGGACCCAGCACTGCCTCTCTTTTGTGTGGGCACAGATCAACTTTAAAAGCGTCTTTCAGGCAGCATGAATGCACTTCATTTTACTAAAAAGAACTTTGTATTGATAGCTAGAAAAAAGGAAGGTTGTTTAAAAAGGAAGGGTAGACAATCGGGACAAAATGAGGAGCTTTCAGTTTCTATTATGAGCATGTCGCTCCATTCTTCCCATCTGTTTATACATTCCCTGCACAATAACGTCTCTTTGCAGTAATATGTTTCCCCTTTTACACTATTCATATTGAAAAAGCCCTCACATCATGACCATGGTAATAAATACCATAGAAATGTGGGTCCGATGTCAATTTGCATTCTGTGAGAAGATCAAGGTAAACCTAAGGGCCAAAAGAATATTCGCCTAATGCTCATTCATCATTCTCCAGATCCAGGTAAAAGAAGGACCTTGTCACTGCATTGCAAAGCCCTTCTGTTGCTATTGCATTTGTGTGAACATTTTAGCCTAATGCACTGATTGTTAAGTAGAAAGAGTAGTCTTTCAAATTGTCTATTGCACTCGAATCCCTCGCTGCACAAGGTCTGGGCGAGAGGCGTTTCTATTTAAAAGGAAAGAGAGGCTTTAGTTCAATAAGCACAGTGTGGTTGAAGGTTACAGAGGACATTGTGTGATTTTTAAATAAAAGTTTTCAGGGGGGGTCATTATCTAGAATGGCAACAGCGAATATGGAGTCAACGTGTAGTAAAACTATAGGATATGGGACTGCAGTCTTTGTATTTGGAGTTAGCATCAATAGCTGGATGTCTTAGGTGTGAGAGGTGCAAAGTTTTTCAGATTGTAGAAGTAAACAGACACACATCTTAGTTACTTGTGAGATGTACATTGTGTTGTCACACACATGAATTCTGTATTCTTATCGTGTCTACTGTTCAACTTAAGACTGACCTTCAAAAATTAGAAAGGATATGAAAGATCAAAATTAGGTATTCTACACATATTGGGAATAGACTAACAATTCCATTTATTGATTATGTCTTGAGGTGATATTACTCAGACACCTTAGATGTCTAACCTTTCTCTTTTTCTAGGAGCAGTTATTAAAATGTGAGTGGTGTTTCCAAAGCTATGTAGATTTTACCTGTGCTCATTATATTTTCATATTTACAAATGAATATGTTTGGAGAGACAATATTTGGAGAATTGCTGTATTGCTTTTAAGTCCATCTTTTATATATATTAGAACAATAATTTACAAACATTTTGAGTGAGAGAAGTCGTTTTTAAAATTATATCACACTTTATTAGTTGCATTCCATTCTATCCCTGAAAAACTTAAGTCACATCTTCTTTTCTTATAATTTGTTTCCTTTTAAACTGCATCTAGATTTTATCTGTTAAGCAAATTATCAAGGGCCTGTTTACTTTCACTGCCTTTTTCTTCCCATTTGAACTATTGATCCTTTACCCTTCTTCTAAATAATAGATGGTTTATTCAGAAAGAGGAGTAAAAAAGAATTTTTGTCAAAAGATGTGAGCACAAAGCTAACTTGAAATCTCTGAATATCACTTTGAAAAAACACAAGTCAAAAGGGAATTTGACAGAACCTCTTTGTATCTTGGGAGAATTGACCTACCGCATATTGCTGTCATCTCAAATTTTGTAATTTTATTGATAATCTTGCTCTTTCAAAAGAGCTAGTAGCCTTATGCTACATTTTTAGCCAAAACCCTGAGTAACAAAGTTTGACATTATTTGTTAAAGGGTCCATTCACTTCTTTCCAAATACAGACAAAATTATGTCTGCCTGCTTCATCTTTGATCCTCTGGCAGAAATGATAAATGCACACACAGGCAGACAGAAGCCCCGTCAGCCTGATTTATAAAAGCCTGTAGATGACTGTTTTGGAACTGGGAACCTATTTGTCAAATGGCCATGCCGATTTAAGCTGTCTTCCTCCTCGGGCAGCAAGGACAGCATCGTGGATTAGGCTTATAATAAACACAGGAATGCTCTGCTTTGCCTTCATTATCAGAACTCTAGATGATGTTTGAATATATTTACCCTCTGAAAAATAGGTGGGTAAAACAATTGCAAAGAGTGTGGGTGTTACACGGACTGACAGCATATGTGTTTACTGTCATTCAAAGGCAGCAAAAAGAGTCCCGTGTGTTCAGAGCATAGACCTGGACTATGGACTTCCTGTACACAGGGACATGGGGTAAACTTAAAATAAGAAAAACCAAATCACAAGAAAACAAAGCAGATAGAAAACTCCAAAAATACCAGAAAATGCAAAAGCCTGAATGAGAGGAGATGGGAGATCGCCTATCTTGCTTTATGTGTGGGTTTTGGCCAAAGGCCAAGTAGTATTTTGTTTATTATTTTCACTCAGCTACTCATTCACAACTCAATTGTGAGAATACAAATAGCTTTGATGAATCTGGATAAGAGGACAGAAAAATAGTATGTGTTTTCATACAACTATAAGTGATAATTATCTAAGAAATCACCTGAGGGTCGAGGAAGTTATTATAGATGATCCCCAAGGAAGTGGACCCAACTACAGCTGCGTTAAAACAGTACCATGTGGAACTCCTTAAAAGAAGTACAGAGGGAATGCCAATATATAAATAAATAAGTAAAAAAATAAAGTACTGAATATGAAACAACAACAAGCAAAAGTGTACATAGCATCAGCTAACAGTTACTGAATTCTTACTATGTACTTTACTTTCTTTGTTATCTCACAACATCCCTGAACCAGAGGTATTAGAAACTAAGGCACAAAAGGGAACATCACTTGCCCAAGGTAACAAAATGTTGAGGTTAAATTGTGTCCCTGAAGAATTCATAAGTAGACATTCTAACTCCCAGTACCTCAGCTTTGACATGATCTGGAAATCAGATTGCTGCAGATGTAATTAGTTAGCATGAAGTCACATTGAGGTAGAGTGGGCCCACAATTCAATAAGACTGGCTTTATTGTCAAAGGAGGGATTTGGACATAGACATAAATGTGCACACACATAGATATTTATACAGAGAGAGAAGACTGTGAGAAGTTTAAGATACAGATCGGATGGTGTATCTACAAGTCAAAGAATACCAAAAGATTATCAGCAAACCCTTAGAAGCTTGGGAGAGGTGTGTGGCATATTCTTCTCTGAAGCCCTCAAAATGAACCACCCCTACTGATACCTTGACCTTGGACTCCAATTTCTATCTCCAGAACCGTGAGATAATACATTCTTATTGTTTAAGCCATTCTTTTATTGTTCAAGCCTGAAACTTGAACTTAGGTCCTCTGACCCAAGCCTTAGGCTAGAAGCTCTGTACCATGTCTTCTCTTGAGAATATTTTGGCATGAAGTCCAGTGAGACATCTTCAAAGGAAGATTTCCTTGCGATTAGTTGAGGTCATAGACTGTGGGAGCTCAAAGGGGCCTTAAACATAGGACAGTGGCTTCCAAATTATGTTCCATAGAGCTACTGGGACTCCCTGGCATATCTCAGGGGCCCCTGCAATGTCAGGGCCAGGTAAGTTTCCCCAGCCCTTCTTCATTCAGAGCACTGTGCCTTTATATGCTTTGTCCCATGGATTGCTCCATATAATTTTATTTGAAGAAAAGATTTGAAGCTTATAAAATAAAAAAACATTGATCTATTGCAAATCCATTAGTTTGCTGACAAATGGGGTCAGAAAGGCTGAATGAAGTTCTCAAGGCTCCAAGTGAGTGTGGAGTCAGGATTAGAAGTCACTTCTATTCTGCTTACCGCTCATTGTAATACAAAAATGAGTGAGTGTTCTCCAAAAATACAGGATCCCAAGAAGCATGGCTGACCTTGGGAGCAAGCAGTC